ATACAGTTGTATTTGTAGTGTGAATGAAATATGGATTCGCTAGGTGTACCAAGCATTACATGTATGGATTTCATTCTCCCAATTTTACCCACAACCTTGTATGATTCTGAATTTTTGCAGTATTATCTCTTTAATGTTTTATATGGCATGCACTCCTTGGGTTTCTCCATGTGGCCTATGAGGATTTTTCTTTGCCTTGTTGGCATACAATGAACAACATCTATATGTTATTATTAATGGAAGAAGATACAGTGAGGCATCCTGCAAAACTATAGTGGAAGATCATTTATCATTTGTATGGAGGTCTGAATCTTAATCATTCAGATTTCAGACATTAAGTGCGTTTGTTTTTAAAGTCTGAATCTTAATTATTCAGATCTTAATCATTAAGTGTGTTTGTTTTTTTTACTTTACAACCACTTAATGGGTCTGAATAGGCCTGTATGATTAAGATTTATAACAGAGACTTAATTTCATTAAGATGCTATCACATATTCATTATTAACTGCCGCCACCGCCTATCATTATTAACTACCACTATGCCGCCACCACCACCATACACAACCACCACCACCACGCTGCCACTATCCTCGATCATAGCCGCTACCATTATCGACCGTCACCACCCACTATCCCCACCACTCCGACCACCATCATTCTCCCTCACAATCAACACTCATCCACCTCAACTACCACAATTGACCACCCCATCACCATCAACAACCACAACTGACACTTCCCATCATTATAACCTACCACCACCAACCCACCACCTTCCTCAGTCACAACTATTACCACCACCCGCCATTATTAACTATCATCAACCACCACCACCACCACCATCCTCAATCATAATCGCCACCACTATCAATCACTACTAGCTACTAGCATGAACCACCATCATCAACCAAAACTACCACCAACCACCGCCTCTAGTCGGCATTCACCCGTTAGCCATCACCACCAACAACTATCATATTTTTAAAAATCATATATTTTATTGATAGAATATTAGATTAGTTATTTCATTTGAATTTTAAGTTTATTAATTTTTAAATAAAGATAACTTTTATACATTCAGATGTTAAAAATCAAACAGTCTTAATTATTTCTATTCAGATCTTAATACACATCTTAATCTATTCAGATGTATATTCAGAATCAGATGTCTTAATCTTAATACACATCTTGATATTCAGATGTGTATTCAGATTCAGACGTCTTAATCTTAAAAAAAACAAATGAGGAGGCATCCTTATTATTAATGGAAGAAGATACAGCGAGTCCTAAGTAAGAATTTTAGCCTGGCGTTTAACATTGGAATTGACTTGCATGCTGATTTAGAGTAAAATCAAATTAGTGACAATATAAGCAGGCCAATTCCATGAAATGGTCTGATGGATCATTGGCCATTCCCCTGCGCAACAAACATGTAGAGGAGAGAAGATAATAGAGACTAGAGAGGAATGTAATTTCAAGCCAATTAATGTTAGGAACAAACAGAGGGAAACCATAGAACTTCAGTTCCATTACCAAAAGTTGGGTAGGATTTTCTCCCGTAAGCAAAAGTGCCAACCTTGACCTTCCTTGCACTCTCTAAGTCAAGAATGAGACCACAATGAATTGGTAATGCTTTTTGTAAACCTGAGATTACGAGTATCCATTAGATTGAAAAATCAAGTTACATTGCTGAACGTCAAGAATAAGATTCTCCGAAATAGATTTAGGACAAAAATAAGATCAAGTTACACTGTTGTGCTAATGTAAAGTATATGGAAGTATACATATATGATATAAACTGATGTGTCCCATTTTGTAAGAATTATGCTGATGAGTGATGAATGTCTGACATAATAGATTAATTTTGTGATCCCTTGCTACCTCATGTTTAGCTTAATCGATTTGTGCCCTTTCTGAACTAAAATTTTACTTGTCCACATCACAAAGAAATTAAAAAAAACTTGAATGGAGATGCGGGGATCGAACCACGTGCCTCTCATACAAAGCGAGCGTTCTACCACTTGAGCTACATCCCCATATGTTGAGCAACAATATAATGACAATTAATCTACCATAGACGTCAAGTCTCTACCTTATTACGACACTAGAATATTGTGGGCTGTGTAACATGATTAATTTAGCTTTACTGGCTCACTAAACTATATGTTAAAAACTGAAACCAACAAAAACAACACAGTTACTTCTACCAAATTAATACAAACTATTATTACAACACTAACTATGCATCAATTCCTCGTAAGTTGGGGTCAGCATGATTAAATTAAAATTAGGTGTTTAACACAACCAAATATCTGTAAGATTCAGGTAGAATTAACACTAATTAAAATACAATTTAACATTTTAGCTTTGAACCTTAGAAAGAAAATTGGTGGCCGTAGACGCAAAAATCATGTGTTACAGTAATAACTGGATTGTATTGTTGTTAATTACTTTAGCATGGTTTCATTTGGAGGTTGGACATTACAATTCTTTTAGTGATTGTTTTAATTTTTTCAGAAATATGATCATTTAAAGTGTCCTTGTACTTTCGGAATTGTTCAAGTTTCATTATTTAGGGTTATAAATTTAGTGTTCCGAAAACAAGAGTACTTTTTTTTTATCTCCAAAATATGCAAGGTGGAACTAATAGTCGTGCAAGTTGGGTATTTAAAATTTGTGAAATTTTGTTGCCATACAATCAACATCAATAATAGGTTATAGAAATCAAGCTGGAGGATGAGAATGTTGAACTTTAATAATTAGAAACCGTCAACTTCTTACTCTTTTCTGTATATATAGTCAGACCTCTCTATAACAGCATCCCTATATAACAACACTTCTCTATATAAAAGTCAAGTTTTTTCCTAACCAATTTTTATGTTATGTTATAATATATGTTCTCTATAACAGCACTTCGCTATAATATCCAAAAATATTCGGAACAAACGAAGTTGTTATAGAGAAGTTTGACTGTATACTAGACATGCCTTCAATGCCTCAAATTGTCCATTCAAAATTCTCATTCTCAAGTAGTACTCAATTTTCCCCCTAAATGATTTTATTCCTGGACTTTGTGCAACTTAATTAAACAGCTTTTACCAAACCACATAGCTACATGTGATACTACATTCAACTAAGGAAATACAACTGTTAGAGTTCTACTGCGGTAATCTCAACAGTTACAAAGATCGTTTTGTGTAAAAAAAAAAATAAGTTAAATATGCTCAATGGATAATATATTTGAAATTATTCAATTTAGATGAGATAAAAATAGAGGATTAAAAACTGAATTTATCGGACACAGTAGTGTAAGAGCTATAACTAAAGAGTTTAACTTCTGTACCCTGATATGGTATAAAATTTTTCCACTAATAGATTAAAACAATAAAACATTATCGATAATACGCTTAACTTGGCGATATGGATAATAAGGTAATTAACCTGCTATAAAAAATTAGACTATATGCAAAATATATTTACTTTGTGAGTGCGTAATCTATACAATGGCGGATCTACATGGAGAGTTATGGATGCTCAAGCACTCATTGTCTTTACCTTGATTTAGTATATTTACATAAGTAATTAGCAAAAAATTTAAATAATTAGTGAGCGAGCATCCATAGCTAAATACTTTTACCATCTTTTTCAGAACTCTTTCCGACGAACACTTAAAAATCTTGGATTCGCCTATACATGTTATACGAGTAAAGCTGCTTCTTTCCTCAATTATGGAGAGTGATGTTTGATTGTCGATGATGGAAAATGATATTTACAAGTTGCAAACCAGTCAAACGAAAAATCAATGACTCTTTAGAGTAAATAAAAGCAACTTGGTCGAATTATAATAAGTATGAGATAATAAATGAGTGTTGTACGAGTGGGATCCATCATATGCTAGTTGAATGTTAAATTAAATAATAATAATATCCATCTAAATACATAAAAAGCTGGGAACTTATTTCTTTCGCCAATAGAATAAGTATTGGGTCCACAACGAAGAAAGTTGATTTAGGAAATAAAGCTACTATCACAGCTTAATAGTATATCGTATGAGACGAGCAAGTTGAGTAGAAGCACCACCAAAGGATGTGGTGCAGTGGATGGGACTGCTTCTCCCTTAACCAGAGATCTCGAGTTCGAGCCCTAGGTATGCAAAAATCCTTGGTAGAGAGCGCTTCCCTCGAATGGGGCCCTACGCGGCGCGAATCCGGATATAATCGAACTCCAATGCGGGTACCGGACACCGAGTGGAAAACAAAAAAAAAGTTGAGTAGAAGCACAGTTCTTTATTGGCATAAGTTGGACAAGTTGCTGATTTAAGGGCATGACGTAGGACGGAATCAAAGTTCATTCAACTTTTTGACAAGTTGATTTCGATGGTTTTTACTTTTTAGGGAACAACCACCTTTGTCACTCTCACCTTTTAACTAATCAATACCCAAGTTGATTTGAGTGGCCACTTGTTGGCCCTCCTGTATTATCATTTTCTTTTCTAATAAAAAAGATCTTCTTGGAATGAGATGAATTGCGATACACAGGAGATTATCAACCGTGCACAAATCTCGTGTTTATGTAGAATATGAGAAAGACCGCACCTAATGTAGGCAGTCAACCTTGAAATGACTGATTTCAAGGCTCGACCCGTGACCTCTAAATTACGCGAACACAATTTGACCATTGCTCCAGACTCCCCTTAATTGATCTATTCTCTAATATTTGTTTGTGAATAATTATATATTATTCCATCAACATTACATGATATAAAGAGTGTGAAAGAGACTTTAACATACATTCTCAAGTTTAAGCAAGATTATGGCACGTAATTTTCTTTGTTGTGTCTATGCTTTTTGAGTTTCATTACTAGAAGTTCAATACTCTGCAGTTACACTTGTTGACATGACCAATCTTTGTTTCGCTGTCCGCTGCCTATTTTATTACAATATGATATATTTCGCCTCTGCCAAAACAATTTTGCAATGTTTGCTGTTGTTGTAAACTAATTTGCCAACAACTGCATCCCATCAATTAGCAAAAGGGTCAAAAGCCATAGCATAAAAAAAGCTAGTTACAGGATTCATCCAAAATATTAAGGATGTAACTTCTGGCAATAGCCACTGGAACTACTTAGCTAAGCTCCTAATTTCCTTTAAAAACATCTTAACCAACCAAATATTTATCTCGCACCTTCTTAAATAACAACAAAAGCTTCTAAACACTTGGATTTTAATTCAAGACTAAGCTGCAAATCAATTAATTAGGTTGTGCTACGTAATCTATTCCTTAGGATAAGAAACAATGATTGAATCAAAAGCTCTCCCTTGATAGAGCCCTTTGCCTTTTGGCATCCCTCGTATTACCTCCGGCCATTCCCGGTATTCTTCCTCCGGCTCCTTTCTCTTTCCTCGCATTTTCCGCCTGTACTACCTGTCTTCAAGTATCAAGAATAAACAAAAAAAATTAAAAACACAACCGACGAGAAAATAAACGATAGAAAGATAGACTATATTTCAGCAGAAAGGAAAAGGAACCAACCCCTACACAAAATCCTTGGAATTGGCAAGAATCATCCTTTGCACTACCCGAGCTCATATCAGAAGAACTCCTTTTGTTGGAGAAGCATAAAAAAGGCTCACTGAATGATGTAGATGATGAGGTAGAACACATAGAAGGAGTTTCACTCCGACAAGAAGAAGAAGAAAATGTCCCAACATCGCTTTGGAACATTTCCTCAAACAGATCCTGCAATTCCTCGAAGGTTTCTCCCTGATTTTCCTGTCAATTCACAAAACTACATCTGAACACCATTGCCACCTCTTAGCCACATGTTTATGTTAAAAAGAAGATGCTACTATACGAACAAATCTGAGCCAACATGCACAAGTATTAGCTTCCCCACCTAGACTTCAGTTTTATTAGCCAGCAATGTGAAAATGAATTTTGTTCAAGAAGCATCTTAAAAATTATCAACAAATAGCACACTAGATCATAAAAAAGGACAGTCTGGTGCACTAAGTTCCCCTGTGCAGGGTCCAGGGTAGGGCCAAACCACAAAGGTCTATTGTACCCTTTTCTGCAAAAAGCTGTTTCCACGGCCCGAACCCGTCACCTCCTGGTCACATGGCACTTGCTAGATTATAGCAACAAAAATTCCTACTCTGCATTTTCTTTATCTTTTGTGGGAGTTTCACAATGTAAATTCAATGAAGAAGAAAAGGGAAAATGGAACTCACATTGGACTTATTTTGGTTCATCATAGCTGCCATTTCATTCAGAAAATCACCCATTCCCTGCACAAGAATATCCACTTACAATTGAGCATGCAGAACTTGCTTGATCCAATATCATATAAGTTAAACCAAATTTTTAGGGATAAAGATCAGGATCTATCATCGATTGAATCAACGACACATGATTACAAGAAACTAATTGTTCCATGTTCAGCCCTCAAAGTACTATTATATCCTTTCCCCTGAAATAATGGCTACCGATGACTTTTAAAAAAGAAAACTCAAGTTGCTTTTGCACGGTAACACAAAAAAGCACCAAAGAAAGCACCTTTTTCTTCGTCGTTCTAAAAGCCCCGACTTGATTAACACTAATAATATGAACATCACCTGTAGCCCTCTCAAAAAGTAAAAACAAATGGAACAACATGAAAATGCCTCGTACAACCATGAGACAAAATTGAAAAAAAGAAACTTCCCAATTCAATCAAGTAACAAGCAACATGAATTAAACCTTAAACACAGATAATAAAAGAAAGAGTTATTACATTTGCGTCATCATCATCACCAGAGTCATAAACTCCTACATCGTACAAAAACCTTTTGTTGGCATCCGACAGCACTGCAAATAATTGAATTTTAGTGTGTGTCCAATTCACAGAGCGCATTTACTGTTAGCTCGCACTAGCAGGACAAAACATTTTGGTGAACAGAGCATACAAATGTATGGTGCAACTGAGTTAGAAAAAAAAAAACATTAACTAGTAATTACCAGAATAGGCTTCTTGAATGGCCTGAAATTTCTTCTTAGCCTCGTCCACCAACTTTGAATTCCCTGATGCTGAGCAGCGATCCGGGTGCCATTTCTATAAAAACAAGAACACAATTTTACCTGTTAGAAGGGAAAATTTCGAATCAAGACTATCTGCGTATATTACTAGTAAAATAAGTAACAATGACTACTGGGAAAATTGGCTGGTAAAATATATTCCACTCATATATAAGCTCCCATAAATCATAGTAATGAATAATCTCGGCCAAACCAGCTCCTTTAATTGATAACAAATAGGCAACGACAATTTGAACGTTTTGTAAAACGACAGGTAACGTTCCATTGCAGGACTAATAGTTATAGCATGCAGAAAATTAAAAAAAAAAAAAAAAAAATTGTAACGTCGATTGACTCTGTTTCATGATCAAGATTCAATTTTTATTTTTCCAGGACTAATTAAAAGGGAAATAAAAAATAAGAGAGAGAGAGAGTCAACAGACCCTACTGATTGTTGAATAGATAAAAGAGCAACACAAAAGAAGTGGTATAGTTTTTTTTTTTAGGGGGGGGGGGGGGTTTACGTCAAATCTGACCAGTGCAAGCTTCTTGTAAGCATTCTTAAGCTCTGTTGCAGTGCATTCCTTCTTCAACCCTAAAACTGCATAAAAATCAATGCTTTTCCCTTCTTCACCTGCCATTCTTCAATAACCACCAATAACTTCAACACTTGCACCGATCAAGAAAAACCTAACTCCAGAAAATTTTCTGTTTTTGTCGACGAATTAAATACAAAGCTCAGCCTTGTACCAAAAATCCAATCAAACTCCTTTAATACAAAAAGGTACTGGATTTCTGTTCAAAGTAAGAAAATATAAAAAAAAATATGTTTCTTTAAAAGAAAAGAAGAGCACTGTTTCGTCAGGACAAGGAACCTTAGCATTATTAGGGTGGAGAGAGAGAAGAAAGAGTTTGAGAAGAGACGAGCAACTCTCTCTTAACGCTAAGGTTGAAGAAAGAAGTCTCCAGAAACGGGCTTTCCATTAAATACGCTTGGGCTTTCATATGAATTAAACATAATATTCTCAATTTTCTCTTCTAGAAAATGAGCGGGTTAGATCAGGTTTAATTAGGGAATGAACGGCTTGGATGAAATGGTGGTACGAGATATTTTGCCCAGTGTTGTCTCCAGAAGCTTCTCTGATGTTCTGTTCCTCGCTTTTTGTACGAGTAATAAACTTGTGTTTTTAAGGATGAGAATGAGAAACGCTTCTTCTTCATTTATATTGTGGGCTGTAAAGGTGGGGCCTACCTTGAGCATAACTCCAAAAAGGTGCGGACGGGGCCCACCATTGCAAATGGGCAGCGGTATTCGGAATATTTACCATCTAGCCCTTGCTAGTTGCATATCTTTTAGCAATAAAGTTGCGACTAGGAATTACAAAATCCAAATAATTCAAAGCAAAAGAAAATGCAAGTAGGAAAACAGTTGCATTTCGTTGTGGAAAGCAGTTGCAGAGACCTAGTGTGCTCTACTAATGTGTTCAATTGAATCGAGTAAAAATTAATATATAAAAATTCATTAAAACTATAAAAATACTTTTTCCATTCACTTTTAATTATCCATTTTGAATTTTCACGCCCCTTAAAAAATAAAAAATTGAGTTAATACTCTCAAACCCGCCTAAACTATATGGTTTTTGTCAGTTTCCTACCTAAACTATCAAGTGCCCCGAAAACCCCCTGAACTATATCCCCCTTCATAATAAAACTCCCCGTCTCATTAGCCCTAGTGCGTATGATACACGCTCTAAATAAATTATAAAACCTGTCATGTGGCATGCCACGTGGATAATTAATCTAATTAATCTTAAAATTGACTTAATTAGTCTACAATAATTTAATTATGTTATTTTTTTTAGTGGGTTTTTACTCAATCTATTCAGTAAAGACGGTCATTTACTCTCAGTAAAAAAATGTCACTTTACTCTCATCGGACCTTCCATTTCTCTTCTCCGATTATTTTCCTCCGATTTCTCTTCAAAACTGGTCACTGCTACCATCAATTTCTCTTCAAAACTAGTCGCTACTATTTCGAATTTGGAGTAAAGGTGAAGTTTTGCTGCTGAATCAGAACAAAATTAGGGCTTAGAATTTTGCTGGTGAAATATCTTCCTCCAATTCTTTGAAGATTTTGAAGATTATTAAAGAAGATTGCTTCAATACAGGTTTTATTCTTTATTCCCTATTATGTTTGTTGCGAAATTATGACAGGTATGTGCTGCGATTTAGTTCGTAGTAGAAAATTTTGGGTCTTTTTTGAGGTGTTACATCTTTCTTGTTGTCGATGTTTGTTTGTCGAATATATAGTTGCATGCATGTTGCTTGTTGTTAGTTTTAGATTTCGGGTCTTTTTATGTTAGATTAGTAAGGTATTCTGTGTTTTGGCCTTATTCTTTGTTATTTTTTATTGTTATTTTAGGGTAATGGCACGCAAATATCTAAATTTGAGATTTCATATTGATGGTATGCTTGTGAGTGAGGTCGGGCCAGTTTATGTTGGGGAAAACACTGAATATGCCTTTAATGTGGATACGTACCAACTGTCTATTCCAGAAATTGTTGATTATGCCAAGGATTTTGGGTTTACCAATGTAGGAAAAATGTATGTTGTATCTTCTAAGGGTGGAAGTTTGGTAGAATTGAAAATAATAGGGATTTGTTGGTACTTGCTGAGCTGTTAAGTAATAAGGATACAATAGACATTTATGTATGCCATTAGGGAGATAATATGGTCCAGAATAGCCATGTGACTAGTGGGGTCGTTGAAGAATCTTCCAGTAGGGTTGTTGAAGGTTTCAATGCACCTTTAGGTTCCCAAATTGAAAATATTGATTGTAGTGGTCAAATAGAACCCCATGAACAGTCACATGTTGTAGAAAAACTTCCTAGAAACTCCTTAGTAGATGAAGATGATTCTGACATAGAAGATGAAGACTTAGAGGAAGATAACATAGGTAATGCTGCAAATAGGGATAAATCTAGCAGTTATGATGATGAACAGTGGCGGAGCTAGAATTTTTATCAAGGGGTGTCAAAATATAAATAATTAGATATGTCGAAAAATCAAGGGAAGTTAGCGTATAGTAAATATACATAAAATTTAAAAAAAAAATTATCTAGTAATATAGTGTAATTTTACGGCGAAGGGGTGTCGCTTGACACCTCTTGGTTCAATGTGGCTCCGCCACTGATGATGAAGAGCATGAAGCTGATTATGGTAGTGATGTGCATGAAGAGTTGAACATAGTTAAAACAGATTTGAAGGCTGATAAGAAGAAAAAAAGAATACCAAGAAAGAAAGTTGTTGCTGAGTGTTTTCTTGGACCAGTTGGGATAGATCCAGGTTTTGAAGACATAGATAAAGGGAAGAAAAATGTTTCTGATAGTTAGTTGGTGATGAGCCTTTTTATGACAGTTCAGATGTTGATATTTTGAGAGTGACAACGACAATGAGAGTGGTAGTGAATCAGGAAACAAAAGTGGTAACATGAACGCAAGAAAGGAGAACAAGAGGGTAATGTATGATCCAAAATGGGAAAAGGTGGTTTGGCAACTTAACATGGTCTTTGAAAATGTATATAAGTTTAGGGAATCTATCACAAGGTATGCAATAGAAAGAGGTCGTGAGATCGAGAAGATTATAAATGATAAAAACAAAGTTAGGGTAAAATGCAAAACTAGTGGATGCCCTTGGTTGTTGTTTGCAAGAAGAGAGCCCAAATCTGTTGATTTTATTATCAGAACTTATAATCCTAGGCATAACTGCAACAAGACCAACACAAATTCAATGTGCAATACCAAGTATCTTGCAAAGTACTATAGAAGTAGGATAATTTCACAGCCGTGCATAAAGGGTTGGGAGATGCAAGATTTGGCAAGGGAGGATTTGGGTTTATATGTAGGGAAAAAAATTTGTTTAAAGGCTAGGAAACAAGTATTAAAAGAAGTGATGGGTGAGCATGTGAAGGAGTTTGGCAGGATTTATGATTATAGAGATGTGCTCCTTCAATCAAATCCATGGAGTACTTGTGTGGTAAAAGTGACATATTCTTGAGATGGGAAAAAATTATTTCGCTCCTTCTACATTTGCTTTGCAGCAATGAAAAGGGAATTTATTGAAGGGTGCAGAAAATGTATTGGGTTAGATGGTTGTTTCTTGAAGGGAATGTCTAAGGGACAACTACTTGTTGCTATTGCAAAGGATGGGAATAATCAAATATTTTCAATAGCATGGGTTGTAGTTGGGACTGAAAGTAAAGACACATGGTGTTGATTTATAAGAATATTGAAGTCTGATTTGGAGATCAATGATGAAGGAGCAGAATTGACAATCTTTAGTGATATGCAAAAGGTACTATCTTATTTAAACTAACAAGATATTTATTTTTAAGCTAACAATATCTTTTTTTAGACTATCACTGTCTTATTTTGCAGGGTTTATTTCAGTAGTTCAAGAATATCTTCCTGAATGCGAGCACAGAATGTGTGCAAGACATATTCTAACTAACTGGCAATAGAAATGGAAGGGTATTGAGAGAAGAAATGGGTTTTGGAGCTGTGCAAGGTCAACTTATGAAGCTGAACTTAAAGCAAACTTGGACAAGTTAAGTAAGCTAGGTCACAAGATCTGTGACGACTTGGTAAACTACAATCCTGAGAAATGGAGCAAAGCAATGTTCAGAACTTCTTCCAAGTGTGACAGTGTGGATAATAACATGGCTGGAAGCTTCAATGCTTGGGTTTTGGGTCCTAAGCACAAGACAATTATTAGCATGCTTGAAGAAATTAGGATAAAGGTAATGAATAGGGTCACCAGAGTAAGGGCATTTGCAGGTACTTGGAATGAAGGCATTTCTCCAATGGCAATGATGGTATTGGTTACAAATGTGGGGAAGTCTATAAGGTGCACAATACACCGGAATGATGATTTTGGGTATGAAGTAAAGGGGGCTACAGGGATTAAACACATTGTCAAGTTGACTGAGGGAGTGTGTAGTTGAAGAGCTTGGCAACTAAAAGGGATACCTTGTGCACTGCAATTCATCATAAGAGACTTAATCCACTTGACTTTCTGAGTGATACAAGAAGGAGACCTACCTAAATGCTTATTCTCAATTCATACAGCCAGTACCATGCATTGAGATGTGGCTTGAGTCAACAAATGCAATGGTTGAACCATCTCTTGTTAGAACAATGCCTGGAAGGACCACACAAAAAAAGGAGGTTGGGAAGATAAAAAGCAGTGGCAAGCTTACACAGAGAGGAATATCAATGAGTTGCTCAATTTGTAAGTCCACAGCTCATAATAGAAGAAGATGTCCAAATAAACCTCAAAGCACTTCAGAGGTACTTTCTATTATTTTCTATTTTTGTTACATTCTGTTAGCTGTTAACAATTGATTGTTGGTTACTTCTGTTAATTTACTTAGCATTGTATCAGCCGTTACTATTTTTTACTGTTTCTATTAGTTTTTGTTATCTCGCATATGTCAGTTGTTACTGTTTTTGTTAATTTCTGCCTCCTGTTAGAAATTGATTACTAATAACATCTTGGGACTGTTGAATGTTAGTTTCTGCTGAATGTTGCAATGTTGTTTGGGACTGCTGTTAGCTGTTAGTTTGTATTAGTTGTTAGTTGAATTTATAGCATTGTATTAGCTGTTAGTTTGGGACTATGATGAATGTTAGTTGTTAGTTTCTGCTGAATGTTAATTGTTGTTATAGCATTGTATTAGCTGTTAGTTTGGGACCGTTATGTATCATTTAGTTGCTAGCTTAAGTAAGCTGTTAGTTTGGGACTGTAATGTAACAGTTAGTTGTTAGCTTGGGATTGTTAATTCTGATTGGGGCTGTTGTGTATCAGTTAGTTCAGCTAGTTGCATCAGTTGTTTCTCTTAGTTGGTATTAGATAGTATCAACAACATTACTTATTAGATTGGTATTAGTTGGTATTAGCTTATTGGGACTGTTCTATTTGTGCAAAGGAAGTGACTCACTCACAAAAATCAACCTCTAAAAAGAGATCAAAGGCTGATTCCCAAGCATCTACTAGTAAGAAGAATGCTAAAGCTAAGGGTGGTAAAGGAAGAAGCAATAGCAACATGGTGCAGAACTCACATAACTCAGATGTGCAACAATCTCAAGTTTCAGATGTCCAGCATTCTCAGGTTTCAGATGTGCAACAAT